CTCCCTGCTGATGTTGAGCTGAGACTCGAATTCTGCTCAATGGATGGTGCTTCAGATCTTGATTGCCTCTCGCCTGGGGCAAAGCCCCTGGTCTGAGATTAAGTTCCCTTCTACAGCTCTGGAACACTCTGCACCTTCTGTGCGGCCGTTTTCTCAGGGCTCACGCCTTGTGGCGGTCCTGGCGAGCTCCATGCCCCAGGGCCCGTGGCTCACTGCTCTACCGGCCCCTAGAACAGCACCAGGCACACCCTCAGTGTCCAAGAGACACGTGAATGAACGGAAGAACATCTGTACCTGAACTCGACTGCCATTCTTTGAGCGGCCCCTCCCCGTGCTCCCTCCCTGAGCGCACACAACACCCTGGGGCTCCCCAGCCCGAGCCCCCTCCCCTTCTTACAGCTGCACTCCCCTCTGCAGCCCAAGCCAGAGAGTCACCAAGTCCCCTTGGTTCCCTTTCTCACGCTTGGGCATTTGGGGTTCCGTCCTGTAAAGAAGTTAAGTAGCCTTAGCTATTCTAACAGCTTCTTGATGGGATGCCTTGCTTCAGGCTCGCCCCTGTCCAGTAATGTCCCTACTTCTGCCAGACAGGTCAGTACATTTATATGATGAATCATCATATGATGATGATCAGATGATGAAACATTCATATGATGACCATTCAGAGATCAAGACCTCTGAGGGTGCCTCAGTGGTCCCCCAACCCCCAGTCCTCCCAGTTTCTTGGGATGGTCTACACAACCTCTCCACTCTTTTCCTCTCTTCCCTGCCAGACTGACCCGACACGGCACCTGCCGCAGTGGGTGTTCAGGAAACGGCTGAGGCTGGGCCTGCGGGAGGGGACACGGCTCTGGTCTCCGGGGACAGGACAGCCCCCTTCCGGTGCAGCCTCCTGTGGTACCCCGGGCCCCCTCACGCTGCACTGGAGGGAGCCCTTTAGGGCTGTCAGTTGGATGACGCCCGAACGTGTGGGATCGAGGGCATCCTGGCCTTTTGGGAGCACCTCACCGCGCGGCCTCCTCACCAGCCGTCCAGTGGCTTTCTCCTGAAGCGGGAACAGCTCAGGCCTTCCCAAGCGAGGCCCCCAGAGAACCGGCAGACCAGCCGAAGGTGTTCCAGGCCAGGGGTGCTCCAGGCAGGGGGGGCGGCGGCGGGGGGGGGGGGGGGGGGGGGACGGCGGGGGGGGGGGGGGTGGGGCGGGCGCCCAGTGAGGAGCAGCGCCCTCCCGTGTTCAGAGAGGGGACTAAAGCAATTACGTTTTACCAGCCACTTTGCATTAAAGAAGATTGATTTGTCCTTCTGATGTGTTGTTTCCATAGAAGCAGGGCTTAACCTTTTAAGTGAAGATTATAAAGCTACCTAATTCATTTAAAATTAGGCTTCAATTCTATCAGCGCTTAATGCTCAAGTGTTACTGTGGGACTTGAGGCAGACAGTGATCTGACTCCCAGGCGGCGCCTGCGATTTTCTCGATTTGAAGCCGCTCTTCCTGATGGCTATCTAGTTTGTTTCTTTATTTTTAAAAAATTAACTTCCTAAGGAGATACAACTTTCTGCGTAAGACCACCAGAGTATTAATAAATACCTTTTAATTAGTCGTTAGCACTGACTCCATAAACACAGGACTGGCACACAGGCACAGAACACAGGCATGTTCGATTAAAGTAATTTATTGTATTCTTCTGGAACGGACATAAAGAGCATCTTGGGAATTGATATCACAACACAACATTATACACCATTTTCACAACTAGCCTTGTGTTGAATTTTTTTTTTAAAGAACATAGTAATTTTAAAAAATCTAAATATTTACATATTAATAAAACATATATACAGAAGATTGAGACATTATCCGTAGATATGGAATTTTTCTTTTTACTAAGAAAGCCTATAAAAAGGATTTCTGAATAAAGTCTGAACAGTAGTCACAGTAAGTAAACGCAAACACAATTTGAGTGCACAAAATGGGATTTCACTGGTGCGGTTTTGTGAGTATGTGGCTCCCATCTGTGGATGCACTGCACGTATTTGTGAGCTGAACAATCCCTACTCCTCCTCAAGTATCGAAACCTCCAAGCTGTCGCCCCGTCTTGGAAGGAAGGGCTTTGGAAGGTTCACGATGTATAATTAACAGATCCCACAGTTGTAAGGTAAATGTTTCTACCTGCATTAGCAACGCACTCATCTAACTGTAATAGAGTGGAAAGGTCACTAATTAATCTTTCCAGTTCCCTTGAGCAGTAGTTCCTTCCGAGGGGCAGAGGACAAATTCCCAAACCTAAGCTGCAGGAAAACAAGAGCCCTGGTGTGCAGTGTTCCGTTAGGACCGGTCTCAGGGAAGGGGCTGCTCACCGGCCTAAGACGTAAAAGGCTAATAACCCTGGGATGTGGTGGCAACGGTTTCTCGGGACCTTCCTCCCCGCCTCAGGAATAAGACAGGAGACGCACAGACGGGAGAGGGAGAGGGAGCTGTCTAGCGGTTGGGCTGAGTCCACAAGCCGCACCGAGAAGCAGTGTCGTCACATTTCAGGGACGCCTCCAACCATCTCCCTCCGGTTGATGAGCTGGTCATCAGTGGACCACCGACTCGGCCCGGGGCCCCCTCCTGGCTCAGGTTCAGTGCGATGGGGCGCAAGTGCCTCGGACAGGGCGCCTCTACAGTAACTCTGAGCTCTCCCCCTCTGACTTGGTTCCAGTGCTAGGCAAAGGTAGGTAATGGTCAGCACAACAATTTCTCCCCCTCTGCTTTGGCATTTCTACTGTCCAAGTTTCTTTCTGGCCAACTATTTGGCATCTGGGTCAAGTGCTAAAGATTTCACGGGAGTTGGCTTTATACAGTGAATGAGGTCTACACGCAGTGTTTGTGAGGAAAACGGCTTAGAGTCACCATCTTTTTGGAGAAGGGAACCTGGAGGTAAATATTTCTGTACCACAGATACCCACACGGCAAGATAGCGCTTTAGTATAAACCCATATTTTCGTATGTTGATTTCACATGAAGCAGAAGGCAGGTGTACCGGGAAAATGAAGTATGTAATTTTAAGGACATTTGTGGCTGGCTGCCACACCACGCCAAGACACCAACGGCTGAGTTTAGGCCATCTGTGAAAACAGTTGTTACGTATCATGTTGGTCACCGGTTACTTTGAGTTTCTTGCCTTTTCATTTTTTTTTTAATGTTTATTTTTGAGAGACGGAGCACGAGCGGGGGAGGGGCAGAGAGAGAGAGAGAGAGAGAGAGAGAGAGACCCAGAATCTAAAGCAGGTCCCAGGCTCCGAGCTGTCAGCCCAGAGCCCGACGCGGGGCTCGAACTCACGAACCGTGAGATCGTGACCTGAGCCCAAGTCGGACACTTAACCGACTGGGCCACTCAGGTGCCCCGAGCGTCTCGCCTTTTAACTAGTCATTTTGTCACTGTGTTGATACGACCCATGCGAAAGGTTTTTCTTCCCTAGGAATTCATAGCTCATTTGCGCTTATTCAGTTACAAGTGGCTATTTTTGGAGGAACTGATGTCACAGATGATTTTGTCTAATAGGGCAGAGCTAGCTTATCTCCCCAATCAACGGTTTCATCTTCCGGGCCGCTGAAGGCCTAATTGACGTTGGCCTTCCCAACTGCTCCCTCAGTGCCGAGAAGAGCTCTTCTCCTGTAGGCTGCGTCTACGCAGTGCACATTAAAATAAATATGCGTCAGAACTCTATATATTCACCTTGAGCTTATGAGGAAAAGAACAGAGAAGAGAGGACTGCCTTTTAGTGAACAATGAACTGACTGGATCATACGCTGGACTTCTAAGAGGGAATGCATGAGTCAACTCTTAACGATTTCTAAAACTCTTAGGGCAAATTGGAGGCTTGATGATCACATACTACGAAGAAAGTAGGTGACAACTTTTCAGGTATGACGGGAAAGATTCACAGAACACCCACACTTGGCAGGAAGTAACCTGAAATGCTACGTGGATCTTTGAGGGGATTCAAACGGGAGAGTCACGTGTGCTCATGGACACTGTCACTAAAAGGGAAGTCTGCGCAGTGACATCTGGCTCTGTGTCTTCCGTGTTTTCTCTCCTGGTGTCAAATACACTACCTACGACACAGACAAGACAACGAAAGGGGGGGGGGGCACTTCTCCAAAGAAGAGCTGCACAGTTTTCTGCTACAGGGCTAGAGGTGAGGGCTCCAGGTGGGGAGAGAACCTGGCTGAGGAAGCCTCGGTTTCTTTTTCTGTTTTTAATGTTTAGTCGCTTTTTGAGAGACAGAGACAGCGCGCGAGCAGGGGAGAGGCAGAGAGAGAGGGAGACACAGCATCCGAAGCAGGCTCCAGGCTCAGAGCGGTCAGCACAGAGCCCGACGCGGGGCTGGAACTTGGGAACCGTGAGATCGTGACCTGAGCCGAAGTCGGAGGCTTAACTGACTGGGCGCCACCCAGGCGCCCCAAGGAAGCCTCTGTTTCATATTTAAATCCCTAAGTTCTCAGCCAAGGCTTTAGTTGGTTGTGCTACGCGAGCCGTTTTAGAAATTTGTAATGATGACTTTTACAGGGAAGTCCGTGAATGTGTGTTACTACTGGAGTATGTCCACATATTGTCCAGGAAGAGACAATGGCTACACAAAATACAGTTTACCTGTAACAGAGATCATGGTGCAGCTATTAAGGTAATGTGTATGAAGATGTGTGAAAAATGGAAAATGCTCGTTAGGTTAAAAAAAAAAAAACAAAAAAAAACAACACCCAGAAAAGAAAATTTTATCTACTTGATCTCCAACTGTGTAAATAAATAAATTTAGAGAAAAGTCTGGGGGAAAACACCCAGTAATGGTCGTCTCTGAGTGGTAAAGTTAATTTGTTTTCTTCCTCGTACTTTTGTTACTTCTTTGAAAGTATGTAAAAGACTGCCAATTCGTGACAAACACCGCTGGGCTCGGCCTGGGGGGTGGGGGGCTTGCTCTACCCTATTTCCAAATGAGAAGCCCCCTTTGTAAATTTTAGAAAGCACTGCTTCGATTTCACTTGCTCTTTACTGATTTTTTTTTTTTCCCCCAACACAAAGTGTTCGCCCGTCCCGGGTGCTTTCTCGCGGTTGCCACAGTGCCCTCCAACACGCGGCCTGCCGCCCAGGACGGGGGGCTCCCCGAGGGCGGGCGTTTGTGCCCAGGACCCAACGGTGTGGGTTCCTGCGAGCTGCTCACACACACTTACCGGCAGGGGCGTGAGGGCAAAGAAACGAAGAAACTACGTTTTTCCGCTGCAAAAGCCGTAGGCGCTCTTGTGGAAGCTAGACAGACGGAAGGCTGCTTGCCTGTAATGGATGGACGCGAATGTCCCTGGACTGCCTGACTGTCCCCCCCTGACCTGCTCAATCCCGGTTCTTGCAAACGCTTAAGGACTTACGCCCCTCTCCCCGCCCCTCCCCAACACACGTGGGTTTGGGAAAAAGACCTTAAAAAGGTAATAAAGGCGTTGTTAGATCTTTAGAAACAGGACCGACCGCTGCCAGCTCAGATCGAGCAGATCAGGAAAGTCTGGCCGGGGAGTCTCACACGTGCAAGAAGGGTGGACTTCACCTCTGGGGCAGCCTCGTTAGGGCACACGCGAGGGAAGGGTCCGAAGTGGCGCTGTGTTCAAAGACGCTGCCCAGACCCCGGGTTTTACTTTAGGGCCCATCAAGACACGCTAGTCTCATCACTGACTCCGGTCATTCATTGAGTTTAAACTGCAGGAGGATTTCGGGCAGACTTAACGACGGACATTCTAACGGTGGAGACAGACACTGGAATGGAATCCTAAAGGGATTAGTACATCCATCAGCTCTTAGGATCTTTAAGAAACATGCGGAGAAAAGCTGGCTTTGGCTTAGGTATGAGAAAGCTATGCGGTGTAATGGCTGGAAGTCGAGAGGCCTGGGCTCCGGCCCAGCCACCAACCAGCTGTGAGACCTTGAGAAAGTCATTTAGTGTTTCTGGGCCTCAGGCTTTTTTACCTGTAAAATAAAAGGACTGGATAAAAAGAAGGGATGGGACTAGATGATCTCTAACGTTCCTTCTTTCTCAGATTCCTTGACATTCTTTTCAGTTCCATGAGGTGGTTCTACCATCCCGTGTTCAATTTCCTCATCTGAAACATCTCTCTGCCTCCATCTTCGGACAGGAAAATGCAAAGGTATTATTTCAAGGGGAATGGTTTTCAAGTGATTATAGTAGTATTTTCAATAACAGCAAAAGTCCAGGGTGTCGGAAGACAGTGAGGACGGGCGGCCCAAATGCCCCGGGGCCAGTGGGGCTGGGGCAGCCGGGGGAGGAAGTCTGCCTCCCGAAATGCACAATTTCGTTACTGGTAGTAATATTTCCTGCATCTGCTGGGAGGGGGCCAGGTGTGATGAGAACAAGGCTAACCCGAGTTGTCCTGACGGACGAGGACACGATGGGAAGGAACAATAGAGATCATGCATTTCAGTTATCTTAATGCATAAATGTGGGAACAGAGCCCAACAAGGAGATGGCCGTATATGGGAAGAACTTGATATAAGCAGGTCCTTTTCGCACCAGGCGGCTCATTTCATTTGTTTGTCCATCGATCTGTTGCTTAGCTACGCGGTGACCGAGAAGGTTCTGCATCGTTCGCACGGTTGAGCTTTCTCATCGTTCTGAGGCTCGCTCACCCGTGTCTGTCCTACCTGCGAGCTCTGCTTTCCTTGCCACCCCGGGACAAGTGCCATCAAGGAACAGGTGACCTAGCCGAGTTCCTGCACAGACTGGCTACTGTACTGAGATTTGCCGAATTTTATTTAAAACTTGGCCACCCCAAATCTGGAATTGAGCATTTTCACTTAGAGGGTTTTTTGCGGGTGTCTGGGTTTGGTGGGCAGAGAATCTCCAGGTAGTCTCGTGAGGGCAGTCAATAAAGAGCCCCCACAACTACTGAGGGAATAAATCATCATCTGGCAAACTGGTCAGATCCCGTCTCTTGGGCTCTCGGGGAGGAACCAACGCAGAGGCAGGAGGCCAGGGTCACAAAGGATACGAACCTGGAATTATGTCTATGGCTTACCATGTTCTATGGCTGATCTGGTTCGGGTTCTAGGAATGTGCACCCGTGCTAGACGGACTGGCTGCTTCAGTCACTCGCTTAAAACACCCGTATTCGTCAGGTGCCCGTTATAAGAAGAGCAATGACTGACTGCCTCTCAAAACCCTTTTGGGGTGGGGGCAGTGGACGGGGACAGAACGGACATGAATTTCACCACAGAACTGGTGATCCTTGTTCTAAAAAGAAATATCATTTCCTGTTAAAGTACTTTCAACGGCGGCAGGTTTGGGGAGGCACATGTTGTGACACCAAGGTCTTAGGGCTTGCTGTTCTGAGGTTTTTGAGACTAGGAGACAGGGCGTGAGGCAAAAGGAGCTTTTCATACTCAATGTAAAAATACCTCTGAGCACAAGGCACTGAGAAGCTCTGATTCCTAGGGCCGGGGCCAGGAGCAGTCTGCTCAAGCCTCTGCCCCTCTGACGTTACGCACATTTTCAATGCCAGTGTTTTCAGGGGCTGTATTTTCCAGCGGGTGTTGGAAATGGAAATGTGTTTTACCTGTTGGCGGTAGAGAGATGCCGTCCAGTCTCTCATCGCCGTCCGCTGCCTCTGCTGGTGGCAAACAGAAAACACAAATCTCGTCAGTTTCGGGGAGCGCGTTGATTTTACGGAATACAGTAATACAATTTAAAAATTCCAGTATGCATACGCTCAACTTTCTTTCCCCTTTTCGGCGTCTGTTGGTTCGCGTTACAGATTTTAGTACCATTATTTAAATCAAACATTTTTTTAAGATAATGATAGGAGGTTTGCTCCTGCATTTTTTTTTTTTTTTTTTTTTTTTTTTGCTATCTTGTGACCTTATTCTATCAATCATTGACGATTTCAGTTCATTTTCACTTGTTTGCATGGACTTAAAATCTTCGCTCAGAATCCGGGGTGAATTGTTCAAATATGATCATCAAAGGCACAGAGGTCAGTGAATCGCTGTGGCAGAATTTTCCCCGGTCATCCCCAGAACCACCCTAACCATCCCCGCGAGCCAGGCTCAGGAAATCCTGAGAATCAGCCCTTCTTCGGAGATGACTGGAAATTGGCATCAATTTAGTCATAGAGAAAATCAGAAGGAATAAGTGTATCTTCAAAAGCTTTGTCACGTCTCCGTTTCAAAATGCAAACCTTTGCTCACGTCTGCTGTGTTTTAATCTCCTTAAGGGTTTTCCAAAGGCAGACCCTCAGTCAGAGAAAACCTTCCGCTACATGTAAAAAAGAAAGTGCTCGTTTGTCTCCTGATAACCGATGGGGCCCATCAGTCTCTCTGGGCAGATGCTGTGGACAGGTCAGAACATTTCGTTACGGCCAAGTGGAGAATTTCGGCGACTGCTCCCTCCATCCCGGGGCTGGCTTCCTCTCCAGGCCACCTTCCCGCCGCGGCACACGCGCGCGTGGGGCCAGCCACATGGGGCTGCCCTGTGCCACCGGGCTGTAATGCTGAGTTGGTGGGAAGCGAATACCATGCCCCTGTTTTTTTTCAACGTTTATTTATTTTTGGGACAGAGAGAGACAGAGCATGAACGGGGGAGGGGCAGAGAGAGAGGGAGACACAGAATCGGAAACAGGCTCCAGGCTCTGAGCCATCAGCCCAGAGCTTGACGCGGGGCTCGAACTCACGGACCGGAAGATCGTGACCTGGCTGAAGTCGGACGCTTAACCGACTGCGCCACCGAGGCGCCCCACCATGCCCCTGTTTTTATCGCTGTGGCTTTGAACACAATCAGGGGGTCAGAGACGTTCAAAGATTTCGACTCCAGTTCGTTCTCTAACACCTTGTCCTCAGATTGCTGCACACCATTGTCTGCTGACCTGCTACGTCCACCACAAAGAAAATGCCCAGCGGAGACACCACAGTCGAGACCAGCTTGGGCTGGAGAAGCGTGTCTACTCTTCCCCTCTAAAATGATGTTGTAGGTGAATATTTAATAACGTAAGACATTCGACTCAAGCGCTAGGACAGATGGAAAAGATTAAACACTTTAAAATAGGCTTATCGATGAAGTACAGGACATACTAAAATGTTAACAGCGTTCCTCTCTGGATGAGTTGTCTAGGATTTTAAAAAGTCTTCAGTAATAATAACAGCAACGACTGCCACCACCGTTTATTAGATGTTTACCGTTTACTGAGCAATTTACGTACATCGCGTCATTTAACTCTTAGAAAACCCTACAAAGGGGTGGGAGGGGGGTTGTTTTTATGCCCATTTGAGCAAACGGAACTGGGACAGAGAGAGGCTAAGAGGCTAAGGTAATCTGGAGCGCCTGGCTGGCTTGGTGGGGCGTGCAACTCTCCTTCTCGGGGTTGTGGGTTCGAGCCCCACGCTGGGTATAGAGATTATGAAAAACAATAAATAAACTTAAAAAAAAAAGGGAGAGAGAGAGACTAAGGGAATACAGCCAGTGAGTGACGCCGTCCCGGCTGTGAGTCAGGTCCATGCCTGGGCTCTTAATCTCCCTCTTTGCTGTTAATAATCCAAATGTACGTCCCTATGCATCCCTATGAGCTTTTTTTTTTTTTTTTTTAAATCTTCAACTTCTAGTTCATTTTCTACTTCAGTAACTTTCTCTACTTTACACGTAAAATGACTTTCTATGTAGTTATAACAAAGCCCTTCCCTTTGTAACTCCGTTATCCCCACTTTCATAACCCAGGCCTATGCAATTCTGGGCTTTAGCAAAAACAGAACATATGCATCCGAAAAACAGACAAATTATTATATGTAAATTAGTGTATGTTAGCTGCACGCATGGGGCCAAGTGTCACGGATGAAGAACGTGGCTGTGTTACTGAAATTTAATTATAACATCTGTCTGTAACCACAAGCTCACGGTCTTTCTTCCCCGGTGACAGTCAAGTTGTGAAATTTAGAAAAGATTGAGCAAGTCCAATAAAAATTTAATAGCAGTGACAGTTTTACTCTTAGATCTAACACAAATAAAAAATTGTGATTTCAGCTCTGAGGAAATAATGTAATGAAAATGATAAAAATCCACACCGGGAAAGGAATCATTCCAGTTACAGAAAAAAATTATTACATGTGATGGGAGCCCCAAATGAATTTCTCTTTGGGTTTGCACAACAACCTCTCAAACCTGTATGGAGCACTTCTTCCTAGAGGCAGTTTGGGCTTCCTCGAGCACTGAGTTGATTAGCTTGCCCAGTTAGCTTGTCCCTAATTCCAGGAATTGAGCCAAATATGATAAATAAGGTTGAAGCTGTGGGAACATCTATGAGACACTGTTTGTTGTTATCGTTTGGACTGAGTAATCAAGACAAAAAACACGAGAGGGAGCAACGTCATTGATGTTGGCCTCTCCGTTCCTATCAGCCTCAGGAAGGAAAGGCGAGTGGCTCTAGTCTCAATCTGCAAGGGTCCCACTTTGAAGCCGCTTGAGGAGACTTTAGCGTAATAGAATTTGACAAAATCAGGCAATAGAGCCTATGTGGCCGGTCACTGCTGATAGGCTGACATCTGGTCTACCTGGGTCTGTACTTCAGGGCTATTTTTGTCCTCTGGCCACCTCCACCTTCTCAGATGCACAAGGAACCTGCCGAAAAGGCAGAGGAGAAGTGCCAAGGCACCAGTCACAAATATCTAGGCAGATCAGTGGTCAGACGTGAAAATGTCCCGAATCGAATACGATGATGACCAAAGACCAGGGCGCTCCCGCAGGAAGGGAAGGGTCTACGGTTGGGATCCCGCTGGGCACAGACAGGCACGTGTGTGTGAGATGTGTGTGTCATGTGAATTACTAATATAAATGCTGGATGGTTAAGAAATGTGTTCAGTGGCCAGTCTGTGGGAAAGAGAACCAGCAATGTGGAGGGACGTCCCCACCGTGTGCACATGTGTTCACTGGGGGGAAGCATGGAAGGGAATGGATTCCAGAGCTCACAGTAATTGGTCTCTGCATCTAGCAGTAGTAAAAACAAAAAAAGGTGTGGTTATGTATAAAAGATAGAGTATGAGGAAACACAGTTGTTTTTAATTTATCAAACACAAATTTATATCAGGATTAACTTTTTTTCCAACCAGCTTTTATACATGGATCTTTCCCTCTCTTTGTTAAAAAATGAATGGTATAGGGGCACCTGGGTGGCTCAGTCCGTTAAGAATCCAACTCCTGACTTTGGCTCAGGTCACGACCTCATGGTTCATGAGTTCAAGCCTCGTATCGGGCTCTCTGCTGTCAGCACAGAGCCCGCTTCAGATCCTCTGTCCCCCTCTCTCTGCCCTCCCTTGCTTGTTCTCTCGTTCTCTCTCTCTCAAAATAAACTTCAAAAAAAAAAAAAAAGTATGGTATAGAAACTATACGTCAAAGAGGTTTCCAGAATACCTCACAAAGAGGAAACAAAATTTAAGCCAAACTTCCCATTTTAGTCATGTGGCCCATTTCCAGCGTTAAAAACAATTCAACTGGGTAAATGTGAAGATCGAGTTAGCTTTACCAAGTGATTCATGAATCAGGCAGCGTCCCCTCCGGCAGGCAGAAGGGAGCTCCAGCAGACTGAAAGGTTTTAGAAGATGGGACAAGTCATCAAGAGAAAACACGATTATTTCGGGTAAGGCCACCTTCCTCTGGGACAAACAGAAGATTCCTCAATGACCAGTTCAAACTACATTTCTGGAGGAGCTTGAAAGTGCAGTCTGGTGATGTGACCTAGCACAAGAGACTCCATTTTGGGCCGCTGGTTTTCCTTTTAACACCAGGAAGGCTGTTTCTGTGTGTCTGAGACCAGCCTTCCACGGTGCACTCCATATATACTCAGTATTCTCTCTACTTTTCATGTCTTCTCCCTTCAGAGGTTTCTCTTCAAACCTAGACTTTTCAGGTCCCCTAGGGACTTGTAATCATCTCCTCAGCGAGAGGCACGTGTTCTGGAGCCCAAAGCCCTCTTCCTTTCTCCGAGCTGACCCTGCGGTACCTGAACCAGTAGAGTCCATACTCTGGATTTGTACACTTCTTTTCCCTCAAGCTCCCAAGTTGTTCCAGGCATGTTTCACATTCCACCCTGTGGAGCAGGCCGACACCAGGCAGCTTCTGTGGACCCTAGGCAGGGGTGCAGGAATATGCGAGCCGACCTCCGGCTACAAGTTTGCGGCATCACTGGGACCGGTGTGTGGAAGAACCCAAAGGAAGTCGAGTGGCTGGTTCTTGGGGTACTTTGGCCCTTTTCCTCTCTTTTGGGCTCACGGAGTATTAAATTCAGGTCTCATCACTATGGCAAATTTTTGATTTCTTTCAGGCCTGCCTATTTAGCGTCTTTGTGTCTTGGGCTTCAACCATTTCCCCTGGCAAATCAACAGGTAAACAAAGTTCTTCCGTACCCAAACAGGCAAGATCGCCAAGGCAGATTTTAGGCAACACAAGACCAACTTAATACTTACTAGCAAAGACACCATTCAGGCTTAACAAATGACATTTGATTTGGGATATAAAACTGAGGAGAACACAGCACCCAACATGGCATCAGGGCTCAGTAAGGGGTTAGTTGCTGTGTATCTACTGGGCAGTTATCTTTGTAACACCTGTCATTCAACTGTAAAACAAGGCTTTCACCCCCCAACCCTTTCCTGGAGACTGAAGTCTAAGGAGGCTTACATAATAAAAGGGGGCCTTTGTAAGGCAAGTAAGGCTGAGGCAGCAGACACCTGGAATAGGAAGGGAGGAGGGACCCTCTAGCAGGAAGTTACTCTTCCTACATGTTATTCAGTTAATCTACCCTGAGTGAGGTCAGGCCGCCATGACACACGGCTCTGAACCTTTGGGAGAAGAAGGGGGAAGAGAGGAAAGTGGGAGGGGACTAAGGAGGTGGGGTGTGCACAAGGAAATGAGAAAACGGGCTTGAGAAGGGGGAAGGAAGGGACGCCAAGGACTAAGGGACACCATGTAAGTGGTCACAGGCATCCCCAGGAGTCCTAGGGACCATGTCCCTGGGGACAGAGCTTGGGGATGTTGCCACCCTGTGGAATAAATATTTGAATATCAGGTAAGGTACATATAGAATATTATCCAGGATCTCATGCAACCAGATTGAGCTAAACGATAAGACCTTTTTGTTGTGGATTATCGTCTCTTCTTTTTCATCGACTGATTCGTTGGCTCATTCAACAAACACTCTTGTGTGTCTGCAATGTGCCACATGCTGTTCTAGACATTTGGGTTAGAAATACGACCCCGATGCAGACTCTGCTCCTGAGGGTCTCGTGGTCACTGGAGGAGCCCGGAGTGTCACCCTGGCAGAAGACCAAAGCGCTGGGGCCACCAATGAAGGCTCCAGGAGGAAGTCGCCTTTAAGATCTGTGACAAGAGGAGGTGCTGTTTTCTGGACAGAGGGAAAGCATGAGTGTGAGAGCCCAGCATTTCTCAGAGTAAGGAGGCGCTGGTGAGGCAGGCAGGCACAGGCCTCTGGCAAGAGAAGTGGGGGAGGAGGGTGGGGCTAGCCTGTCAAGGACCCCGCATGCTGTGCTGGAGGGGTGTGTAGAAGGGGTTGTGTTTGGGGAAGACAGGAAGCTAGAAGTGTCTAATCAGGGTTGGGGCACGAAACAGATGTAATTCTCAAAGAATGAAGTCTAGGGTCTTGGGACATGGCCACATCTAGAGCTGCACACTGGTGAGTCAGCGATGGTGGGACAGTTCAAGTCCCGGATGAGGCTTTAGAATGAGAACAGCACCAGGAATGGAAAGCGAACCACGTGGTTTAGACCGTGGATTAGACCGAAGGAGGAGGAGGCCGTGGATTAGACGGAAGGCAGTGCGGGAGAACCGGGAGGAGAGGCAAAGACAGGGAAACCCCAGAACCCAAGGGAAGAGACTTTAAGAAGGATGAGATCCGACGGAGTCAAAATCAACATGCAGGTCAAACAGAGTGTTGGTGTAACAGAAGGGGAATCTGATCTCCGTGGTGACTGCAGGAAGAGCGTCTGTAGAGGTGCGGGGCCAGAGGACAAAATGCAATGGGTTCTAAACAGGTCGGGGAAGCCAACTCAGGGAATGCAAACCCTTTGGGAGGAAATTTGACCAACACCTTCCGGAGAAAGAGACGGTAGCGGTTTTAAGAAATGGCAGGGGTAGGGGCTCCTGGGTGGCTCAGTTGGTTAAGACACTGACCCTTGATTTCGGCTCAGGTCATGATCTCACGGTTTGTGGGGTCGAGCCCCACATCAGGGCCTGAGCTGACAGCAAGGAGCCTGCCTGGGATTCTCTGTCTGCCTCTCTCTCTCTACCCCTCCCACACACGTGCTGTCTCTTAAATAAATAAACATTTAAAACGTATTTTAAAAAAAGAAATGGTAGGGTTGAAGGAATAGTTCTGCTTTGTTTTGGGAGGCAGAGGGAAGGAGGGGAGGGCATGAACACTTTTTGAGCATTCCGCGTCAGCTCTATATTAGTGGCAAAACTTACATTGTCTGATTCTGACACTGAAAACACCCAAGAGGGTAGGTATTAGCCTTGTTATATATATGGAAAGCCTGAGGCTCAGAGAAGGTCCCAGGAATTTGTAAATGGCAGACGGGAGCTGGGAATTCAGGCCTATTCTCCCCAGTGTACCTCGCTGCATTTATTTGTGATGATTTGTAGATTACAAAAAAGAAGGCAGAGAAACGGAGAGAGCTGGGGGAAGGGTGAGGGGATGATTTATCACCCAAGCCCCAAAACCTCTGTGGGTGAAGAGGGCATCAGGAGCAGTTACGCTGGGACAACAGGAGCAGAGGGGGGCCCCCGCCGGGCACAGAGGGGGCGCTCAGACCTCTGACCTGGGACACAGGGAGGCTCCCAGTGCCGCCGAGCACCAATACAGACGTTTTCAGAGGGCACGCTCGTTTTGTTTATGAAGACATTCCTGTATGACAGATCTGGAACCTCATGACAACTGTGAAGCAGACTTTATTTTTCTGTCTGCGTCGTGAGAGAGACACAGAGGACCGGATGGGTGGAGTGACTTGCCTGACGTCCGGGGCTGGTAAAGAGCAGAGAGACCGCAGAGCCAGGTCTCTGGACTCCGCTTCACCTTGCTGCCCGCAGGCTACCCAATACGTTTCCACCAATGACAAGAAGCAGTAGTCCACTGCTCTTTATAAAGAGCATCAATTAGTACAAAAGGAAGCAAATGGTTAAAAAAAAAAAAAGAGGAAGGGAAGATTTTAATTAAAAAAAAAAATCCTCTACAGCTAAGTATGTGAAGTCCTGATGGCTACTTTACAGAAGCGAGCTGTAAGGTTTTTCACAGTGAAGATGCACTTGGTCCCTTGGGGCCAAGTCTTGCAGCCTCTAGGGCGCTCCCAGCCTGTGCCGGGAGCTCTCCCCCGGGGTGCTCGCTGACTCAGGCCGCTCACTGCTCTAGTACACTGTGAATTCACATAAAGGATCTGGTAGAGACACAGGCCCACGCATCTGTGCTGCTGTTCTCCGGGCCTCTGTACCAGCCAGATGTATGACAGTCCCTGTCTGGAGCCCGTCTCCGAAACTGGGCGTTCTCCAGCTACAGAAACACGGAGGCTCTTAGCAGGCCGGGTGTCCTGAGGTTTGATCAGAATTGTTTGCTGCATTTATTTTTTATTCCGAGACAAGTATTTTGAGACAGGGGAGGGGGGGAGTGCAGAGAGAGGCAGAGAGAGAATCTCAAGCCGACTCCACACTCGAACTCACGAACTGTGATAATGACCTGAGCCAAAATCAAGAGTCAGACGCTTAACGGACTGAGCCACCCAGGTGCCCCTGATTGCTTATTTTAAAAATAGTATCTAGAGGTTTGTGGCCTCCTAGAGATGATTATTCTTACATGATGGCAAAAAACTGGCCTCAAGGGGATTCTTCACTGGTACATTGGCTGTCATTTGAGGCCTCAAATGACCAAATCCAAATAGTCATAATTCAACTAAAACAATCTCAGAATCCCCAAAGCCAGATTTGAAAAATACACACTTGACTTAATCTGTTTCATGTGGTGTTTCTGATAGGAGGGTTATTGTTATTTTTGTTACCTTAAGCAACTGGTATTTTTTATGAAAGTCATGCAGATCCAAACAAACAAAAGTCAATAGCAAACAGAAGAAAGTCACACAAGAGAGACCCAGTTTCACAGATAAGACACATAAAGCCACAAAATAAGATTAGCCATCTTCTTCGTTTATACTGTTAAAATTAAATGGTCTGACAGAATTTTTACTATTTAACCTTCAGGTGAATTTCCAAATTCATTTGCCTAAGACTTTAAACTAGAAACCACAGCACATTAGGTAGAGCTTTTCCTTCAAAAGACAAAAAGACAGTGAAAATACCCTAGAGCAAAGAATTGTATTTTACAACGTCCAAGATTTCAATTGAGGGCTTTGGCAATTATTTTCTCACGGCTTATTCATACCTGAGCCTCTTTTTAACCTTCTTCTGGCCAGTTTAATTTGATCCTGTAGAATCTGTACCCAGTCTCTCGGGCCAGGAAGTTTATCCACATGATTAGCGGTACAGTATTTTTCTGTGAAGACTGAAAGAAAATGTGAAATAGTGTTAAATACTTCAGCAAATAAAAAAACATGCAGATCTGAAATGGGAATATATCCCAAGAATAAAAAAAAAAAAAAAAAAAAAAAAAAAGGGCGTATTTCTAGAAGACGTCAGTTCCGTAGTGCGTGGCTTCAATCCCCACATTACATTCCTTTGGTAAAGATGGAGGTTGGCAGGGGCCCTGCTCATATACAGTGAACTGTGCTTCAGAACGAAACCGGCTATAAAATAGAAGCAGTTCTATGGTACTGCTCTTTCCACTTGCGTATATGTGTCTTATGGGCAGAGAAGAAAACGCTTCCTATGGGTCCACTGGCCCCATGAAAAAATTCAGCAAATGTATTATTACTGTTGTTAAATCTAATCTCATGCAAGATTACACAGAAAGATGGTGTTCTCGTGGTGATTCCTACTAAATCAGTACTCAATAATAATGCAGTTGTGTCTTCTTAAGTTTATTTATTTTGAGACACAGAGAGAGAGGGAGGGAGAATCCCAAGCAGGTGCAGAGCCCAGCACGGGGCTTGAACTCACAGTGAGATCATGACCTGAGCCCAAACCAGGAGTCGGGAGTTTAACTGACTGAGCCACCCAGACGCCCCTGTGCAGTATGTCTTAATGAAAGTCCCCATTTGTACTTTGAGTCAGCCTCTTGCGTGCTGTGCCAGCACCTAGGAGAGCTACCTGGTAAGCAGAGGGAACTATGGAGAGAATCGTGTGACAGGACGAGAGGGAGACAGGACAATGGCTTTATGAAAGCTACACCGTGTGTGGCTGCCCATCTCAGAGCTGCTGTGGACCTTTCTGACTCCCTCTACCCCCGAGCGCCTTCACACCCCATCTTTGCTACCTGCTCTCTGTAAGGACAAGACCTACACTCACGTTGCCTTCTTGGTATTTAAAGTACTGGTGGTTTTAAAGCTTTAAAGGTTTCTTTTTAAAAAAGAGATGACCAAGGAAAATGTTGACAGATTCAGTTATATAAAGCTATTTTTTTTAAGTTTATTTATTTTTGAGAGAGAGAGAGAGAGAGAGAGAGAGAGAGAGAGAGAGAGAGAGCAGGGGAGGGGCAGAGAGAGGGAGACATAGAATCCGAGGCAGGCTCCAGGCTCCGAGCTGTCAGCACAGAGCCCGACACGGGGCTCGAACTCATGAACTATGAGATCATGACCTGAGCCCAAGTCAGATGCTCAACTGACTGAGCCACCCTGGTGCCCCCAAACTGTAACATTTCTATTGAATGAAAAAGAAACATTTCCTTAGAACGAGAAAAGCTCGTTGTGCTAAATACGACCAAAAAGGTTCAATATCTACCCCCTGCCCCAAAAGAGTTCGTTCAAATAAAGGAGCAACTTCAAAAGTCTCTACAGATGAACAAAGCATATCTAGGAAAGATGTTCAGAAAACATATAAACCAAAGAACTGCAAAACACACTTTGTCTCTACTAAATTAGAAAGACAATGAATGTTAAGCTAATAACACTGCTAAAATGGTGGGGACCCGGCACATTCAAACATTGCCATTGGCATAAATGGCAGAACTCTTCTGGGAAGTGAGGTGGTCAATACAGAAAGAGGGGCTTGATACCTGAGAATCTTGCTCCTAGGAACTTAGCATCAGGAAATCATTTGAAAGAGGAAGAAGCCCATACACAAGGGTAGCCCATCCAGTCATGGAGGACGTGGTGAAGTGGGGCAGTGGGGGGTCTAGGTCTGGGAGTGGAAGCAGGCAGGGGCTCCCCGCAGGAAGCCACTGCTGTCCTCTGTGTAAGGGCAGCGAGAGCGAAGGCGGCAGGTGACTGGAATGGTATCTAGAACTGGCATTTCTGGGGAATCCTATGACCTGGTAAACATGGGAGCAAGGGAATGTCTGAGGGACAAGGCAGGCTGGACTGGGTTTGGTTTGGGCCATGCTGATTTGGGGTGTTGGCGGAGCACCCATGGGGGGGACAGGATTCGGGGAAGGGGGTCCAGGCAGAAGATACGGGCCTGGGAGGCACATGATTCTTTTTCTTTTTTAATTTTTTTAATTCATTTTGAGACAGAGAGCATGAGCTGGGGAGGGGCAGAGAGAGAGGGAGACACAGAATCCGAAGCAGGCTCCAGGCTCCGAGCTGTCAGCACAGAGCCCGACATGGGGCTCAAACCCACAGACCATGAGATCATGACCTGAGCTGAAGTCGGACACTCAGCCAACTGAGCCACCCAGGCGCCCCGGGAGGCACATATTTCTATGTGGTGATTGAGGCAATAAGAAAGAACGTCGGCCGGCGAGAACACAGCGACGGAACAGCACTGGGTGGGCCGAGTACAGGGCCAGAGGGAACCCCAGCTGGAAGGAGATGAACGCACAAGCTTGGCTTCTGAGGGCCAAGTCGGGGGAACCGGAAGTGAGGTCTCGTAAAGAAGGGCGAGTGGTGCTAAAGAGGACAACAGACAACCGTCTGAAGTGCAAGAGAGGGTCGGGCAGGGCGGTTCTCGCAGTGTCACGGGAGGCCCTCGAGGGAGCGGCAGGGTGGCCACAGATGGCATTCCAGAAAAACCCGGGTTCCGTGGGGGAAGGAAGAGATGAGGGGTTGGAGGGGAAGCTGCGGGGGGGGGGGGGGCTGCAGGCTGGGGAGACTCGGGCCTGGTTTACAGGCTGAGGGAAGCAGCCAGGATTCTGGGGAAGGCAGGAGGCAGTCACGGGAACCACGGCTGAGGTGGTGGGGTCCAGAAGCGGAGGCTGTCCTTGAACAGGAAGAAGATGCCCCCTCTGAGCCCGGACGGGATGGGGAATGGGGTAGATTTAGAAGTGGCACAGGCTGGGCCAATCACTCCCGAGACTCAGTGGCTCCACAGTGAGGGGTACGGAGAGCGTGGGGAAGGTCCGGAATTGCCCCTGATAAGAAGAAGAATAGGAAGGCAGCCGACTGAGGATGTCAGGACACCAAGCACAAGAGCAGGCCACGATCCCGTGGCACCTCGCAGCTCCGAGCTGGGTGTGGTACCACCGGATGGCAGGACCGGCCCAGGGTAGGACTCTGCTGGACAGTTCTGGCAAAAGGACAAGGATACAAAGCGCTGGAAGAGGTCAGCTGCAATTAATTACCTCTGCTTTCTTTGCTCCCTGCCTCCCTACACGAATCTGGGAAGGAAGTAAAGCCAGAAAGAGGCTCACACACTTGGAGAAATCTCTGGGGATCGGGGAATGGCCTAGCAGTGGGGTTGGCAAGGAGGTGACAGAGTAAGGGCAATTGAGAGTGTCAGGCTGGAGTAGAGAGCATCAGCAGCGGAGCTCTGTAGGAGAGCGCTAAGGTGTGGTCACCGTGGATGAGGGCCGGGCATGATGTGGCTGGAAGGCCAGGTGGATCTTTCATGGGCACAGTGAAGCCACTCAAGATGCCAGCAGGACTTGAGAGAGAGAGGAAGGCGCGTAGCTGTGATAAGAGCCTTGATGGACAGGGTCTACCCCAGCCCCAGCCGTGCAGAGGAAGGGTGATGACTGGGAAGTAGAACTAAGGGTCAGGGGTCGGGGGGAGTATCCCCCAGGCTCCCCAGGACATGGCATGTGAACGTGGGCGAGCAGGCGGTCTCCCCTCGGGAGGGATGCCGGGGACACGATATCCCCGAGGTGGGTGTGATCTTGAATCTCCTCTGCCAGACTGTAGACCACTTCAAAGGTCTTCATTAATCTGGTCTCCCTCAGAGCACTGACCACAGTGTCCCGTACTGAGCGAGAAGTCAATAAATATTTGATGAACAAGCGTATTTTCCAGTTTGGTTTCTAATGGCAGCGATTACAAGAGCTCATGAATTTAGACTAATTGGGGAAGAAACACCTATCTGCATTAGTAGGAAGTTTTAAATTCATAGAATACAGTTAAAGAAACAAGGCTGTATCACATCCAGATGCCCACAGTAACATTTCCTAACCAGAGAGTTGCCAAAAGGTTCTCGAAGTCCTATTTTAACAAACAGGAGAGAATAATTAATCGCATTTAGCATGCTATTAGTTTATATGAAAATGTGTACCACACAAATGGTCTTACATATCATCTTACCAGGTAAACATTTCCCTCCCTGTAATATTATTTGTATAATTCATTTCCATAGTAACCCCTCTTTTCTTAGATTGCGAGATCCATGCATCCAAATTAGCACACACTAGAAAGTAGTGGTTCCAAATTGCAAAGTTGATGTGGATTATGCAGAATGACTCCCAGCAACCACATATGTCAATGTCAACAACCAAGTTTAGGAGAACCAAAGGGAAGGCTCTGGAATGTTTTCTCCCATTCCGTGAGGGGCTTCTCAGCAGATCTTTCCAATCTAATCTTGGGCCCAAATACCGTCACCCACTAAAATGGCAACAATTTCTGGCTATTTTTTTTTTCTTTTTTCAGTTAAAATTTATCCAGGTACAGGGGTGCCTGGGTGGCTCAGTCGGTTAGGTGTCTGACTTTGGCTCAGGTTGTGATCTCGCGGTTCATGGGTTCAAGCCCCGCGTTGGGCTCTGTGCTGATAGCTCAGAGCCCGGAGCCTGCTTCGGATTCTGTGTGTCCCTCTTTCTCTGTCCCTCCCCCACTAGAGCTCTGTCTGTCTGTCTGTCTCTCTCTCTCAAAAATAAATAAACATTAAAAAATCAAAATTTATCTGGGTACAATAAAAAGAAGCCAGAGAGATCTCTGTCTCCCGGGTCTGTGTCTAAGACCTTTGAAGGCACAGCACTAGGCTTCTCGAAAAATACCTATATAAACAAATATTTCCACTGTGAGTATTACTGACATTCTGTTTTATGGATTACATTCAAACTTAAAAGAGACTTTTAACTTGAATCTGTCTACCGAAGATACAATCCTATACTGTGTAACTTGTGCAGATGAGACCTTAGAACAAGGCCAAAAAGATTGTCATTGTATTGATCCGAAAATGCTCAATATGCTATGTGAATAGAGGTATCGAGTAAGCAGAATATATTTTGCTGTCTGAATCTGTAGC